TAAAGCCTATTGAGCATCACATTAAGAATCCAATGTCTAGAATCTACCTCTCCAAAATATGCACACACTCATACATACACATTATCTCTCCCCCCCTCTCTCTCTCACACCCACACACACAAGTTTTCATCAAATTGAAAAGGGAAGTTATCTCCATTTGTTTCTGAAAAAAACTTCATCAAATTAAGAATAACTGAATTTAATTACCACAGTTCATTAAATATAACAGTTAGCATGTTTATTAATAGAAAAAAGCAAATGATAGCCTTTATAATGTGACTTTTTGTCTGTTATTTGCATAACTGATTAATACTGTAAGCAAGCTTCACTGCTGTTCTAGAAATGATAGATTGAACATTATAAAATCACATTTAATAATATGCCATGAATTCCAGTGCAATGTTTGTGGGAGTAAAAAGCTAGGTTTCATCTATCTGTTTTGAAGTGCTGGCTTTGTATGTGTAGGAAGGGTTTTTCTTTTATTTTCAAGAGAGAAAAGATTCAGTTATGTCTACACTGCAAAATCCCACAGGCAGAGACTTGCTTAACGCTGCTTCAGCAAGAAGAGGTGGATTTGGTACTGTAGCTGTGCTGACTGAAGGATTATGGGAATTGAAGTTTGAAAGCCCCAGGCCTAGGAATTCCACTGTTGTTGTTTTTGGTGATGTGGAAATTTCTTCAGCATGATTGCTTTTAATTGTTTTCAACTATTCAATGGATAAAATATATTGTTTAGTCTTGTTTTAATTATGTACGTCACCTAGAGTCACATGCACATGAGATGGGCAGCTATATAAATCCAACAAACAAACAAATAGTTTTCCCTATTGTTCCTTTTCATTTAAACTTCAGGACTGAGTCTATGACTTAGGCCCAAAGTAGTACCATTTGAGATTATCCACAGTCTTGGGAAAGGATTGGTTACAGAAAGGATAATGGCAGAGCAACTTTCTTGCAAAACAATCCCATTGAGGGTTGAATATGTTCTGCTTGTGGACGGCTTAATTTTTTGAGGATGGGGACAGAATAAAAAATAATAGTTTAGGGAAGAAAAAATAGATGGTCCTAAAAAGGTCACATCTGCTTGTCTGAAACGCTGAACAGAAGACTTTGGCTGGAACTACCACTGCAGCTATTAAACATTTCGTGAAATTGAAGAAGTCAAGATTAAAAATAAAGTTACTGTACTGTAAAACCATAGTTCGGTAAAACAGGAACTAACTTGACTGAGTTTTACTATAGCCATTGACTATTTATGTCTCATGTGCTTTCTGTTTCCTCCTACAGCTGTTTCTCTCATTATTGTATTCTTAGGAACTCATGATATCCTGGGAATTTCTATTTGTTCACAACCTATGGTTTCTTCCAGGAAAAGATGGGAATTAGATCAGTTGCAGCATGTGCCTGAACTTGATTTTTAAAAACAAAATCCCACATTACATTTTAACATTTAACAGTAATCTGTTATCCTCATTTTCCCCACCTATTTTTTCAAAGGTACACTCTAATTGATTGGCGGTCTTCAGCAAAACACTTTAAACCAAGCTCTGAAAGTTTCCTTTACCAGATTCATAGTGCAGTCAAATTCTTTCCATCTTTTTCAGAAGCACTACAGGACATTGGTTGAATAGAGGAAGTATGAAAGACGGAGCTGTTTACTTTGAATATTTATGTTTTATTTTTATTTCCCCTACTTGTTTACTAAAAGTTATGAATCTAGCCTATGAAAATTAAAAATTCCTGTATGTAATGGGTGGAATCCAAGAATGGTTTTCACCTTCCAGCAGGCAGGATTGGGCCAAGAGTCAGTCCTTTCCTCCTGTCTTCAAAGTCTGCTCTGGAAGTTTGGGAGACCACCCACAGCAAGGTTTGAAGGCTCCTGAGGATGGCTGCAAGGTAGAGGAGAGGGGGAAAACGTCCTGTAAGCAGGAAATCTGCTTCTGCAATGTAGTAAGAAAGAAACTTAATGATTATAGCTGAAGGCTCATTAAAGTCAAATATTGTAATCATCACTACCTATGTAAAACCAGTAAAAAGGGTTGTCTGGGGATCTTTTTATGGAAAATTTATTGCCACCAATGGAGAACATCCAGTGTTACTTTGGCTGATTGTCTTCATATGCTAAAAGACATGATAAATAAACTGTACAAATGGTCCATAGGCCTAGTATTTGCAAACAATTAGCTAATACACTATTGGTCAAAATGGGCCAATTGTCTAGCCTGAGAAGTAACTTGGAACTATAATATCAACCTAATATCTTCTATCCATATTATATGATAATTCCGTTTGCTTTTGGCATTATTTGGCAGAATTGTGGCCTAATTGTGGAAGGTTAATGTAGGGACATAAAAAGCAGTCCAGATTAATTGGTAACAAATAAAAATATTTTAATGTTGGAATGTGAAATCATACAATAAGGACATTCATTTTTGGAGCCAGCCAAAACTTTTGAATTGTCTTCATGGATAATCACATGCACGTTGTATTACAGCAATCCAGTCTTGAAAAAATTAGGTAATTCATTGGATATATTGGTTGGGCATATTGGAAGCTGTATTTCAGAAACAAATGGCTATAATTTTCCCGTTCTATATTAGAAGAATATTCAGATTGTGGAACTGCAATACTTTGGTTAATTTTCCCTTTTTTTATTCACTAACTTAGTAATAACAAAGGAAAAATAGCTTGCTTCTTTTCATTACTAGACTGTGAAGAATCATCAGTGGACGGGGGCGGGGTGATGGTGGTGGTGAAGTTTTTTTACTAATTCATATCTGATAATTTCATTCTTTTTTTCTTCATAGCTTTTTGGGTGGGGCATTGTTTCTTCTGTGATTGTTCTAATATCTGGTGATAATTTCTGCTTATCTGGATGTTGGTTAATAGCTGTAGGATGAGGAAGGATATTTGTCTAAGCTCACATAATTCATCAAAGCTGGTAGGCCAAGCTAAATACATAAAAACAGCCAGCTGACTCTACTCCCCCATGCACTAACAATGCTATCTAGACTGGTAATAAACATCTACAGGAAGAGAAACAAGCTAAAAGAATGCCAAGGACCCAACAACTTAAGTCTTAAGCTATATATGTTCTCACTATGGCAGGGGAAAAAGAATCTTCTAAAAATCCTAAAAAATTGTTAAATTAGGTTAAATTATACTGATCATAACAGAGGATTTTCTCCTAATGCAAATAATAGATTCAAGGAATAGGGTTCCCCCCCCAAAGTCCAATAATGGAAGAAAGGATGAAACCACCCTTTCCAATCTGTTGATCTTGTTAATTATCAGCCTTCCCCAGTAGCTTCTATTCCATTTTTGGGGAAATGTACCTGTAGACTTTGTAAGTCAGCAGCTTATATGCTACAGCAAACTAGTTCTCAAAGTAGCTGTTTTATCCCCCAAATTTTGACTGTCTGATGGGAAAGGTGGTCTAGGAGGCAAATGAGTTAGGATGATTATCAAGTTTTGTTGACCATCAAGTTTTATTAACTCTTGGCCACCATATAAATAGATGGCTGCTGCACACAATACTTTTCATTTTGGCTTAGATATTATGTGATCCCAACTTGATATGTGTGACCATAACTACCATGGCTTGTTCAGCAAACCATGGCTTAGCATAGTGTGAACTCTGTCACTGAAGTTGACCTCATTCCAAAGTAGTAGTACCTCTGCTCATTAACCTGGAATTAAAATCTTAAGAGACATCAATATGCTGTCCCTCCACATCGTACCAATAACGTAAAAAAATTGTCTAGAAAACAGTGAAAGATACAATTGAAAAACTTCTTTGAAAGGCAAAACAAAAACAAGAGTCAACTCCACGTGGGTTGAACTTCAAAATAGATTAGAGAAATCCTATCATCCTGCCTTTGTGGCCACTCCTGTCCTCTGACTAGATACTAATTTGTTTGGGCTGGACCTGAGGATGGTAAGAAGTGGATTTTCCAGCTGAGGTTCTCCAAAGAAGGAAATTGCCTGTAGAGATTAAAATGTGACTTTGGGAGACGCCTTTTGGGGGAAATCTGAAGGAAAACTCGGTGGATGGGGCTGCCCAGTGAAGATCTTGAGACCAGAAAAACACATTTAAAAATTGTGGAGTCCGAGTTTGGTGGTTGGCTTGCAGACGTTTCATTACCTGACTAGGTGACGTCTGATGTTGTTACCTAGTCGGCTAATAAAACGTGGGCAGGTAGACCACCAAGTTCAGAGAGCACCAAGGACTCCTTATTGCAACCCTGAGCTACAGATATTCTCTTCTGTTGGGGACATTTAAAACGGAGGGTTTGTGCTGCGGATTCAGGGTTGAGCAGGAACTGCGCCTGGCTGAGGAGCGCCCTCAAAGATGAGCGCTGGGCGGCGGCGGCCCACGGCTGCCTCCGCGGCTCGGGACAAGTCCCTGCAGGACGGCTGGGAAGCGCCGCCTCTTGGCCCTCCCTTCTTCAGTCTCATCCCTCAGGTGTCTCCCTCCCTTAATAACTATTTGCCTCTTTTTCTTAGCCGAAGCTGCTCTGAAACAGCCAGGAACGGAAGCAGGCAGGCAGAGCAGAGCAGAGGACTGGACTGAACCGCAGGCGGCTGTGTGGGTGAACGGGCGCTTCGGAGGAGCTGCGCCGACAGGAAAAGCCACCCTGCCGCTTCTTTGAGGCAGTTTCTTCCTGGGCTGGAGAAGCGAGAGAGAGAGAGAGCGAGAGAGAGGAACGAGGCGGGAGGAAACCGAAGCCCCCGAGCCGGAGAGCAGGAAAGGCTTTTCGGTTGCTCGAGGGCCGGCAGCCACTTTGGGGCCTGGCGGGAGTTGAGGCTGTTCTGAAAGAATGGTTTGCTCCCCCCCGTCTCTCCTTTGTGTTCTGGATCCCTGATCTCAGCAGCTCTCGCCAGAGGCGAAGAAAGCAGCGAGTGAAGTGATTCAGCAGCTTGGCTTATTTCCTTCCCGGCTCCGAAGGCAGAAAGGAACTGAGTTGGGGTGTGTGTCTGTGTGTGTGTGTGTGTGTGTGAACACACCAACATGGCCCGGAGACCGGGGGCCCTGGGCTGCCCAGACCCCCGAGGACTATAGTGTCCCAAGTCAGCTGGGACTCGGGAGTGCCCCAAGCTGAAGTTTCCCATTTGAGAGGGAGGAAGCCTCCTTGTCTCGGTTTAGCTGAGACCTGCCATGTCCGGAGGGATGAAGTTTAATGGGTACATGAAGGTGCGCATTGGGGAGGCTGTGGGGCTCCAGCCCACCCGCTGGTCACTCCGGCATTCACTGTTCAAAAAGGGATACCAAGTGCTGGACCCTTACATCACAGTGAGCGTGGATCAGGTACGAGTGGGACAAACCAGCACCAAGCAGAAGACTAACAAACCTACTTACAACGAGGAGTTTTCTGCTCCTGTCACCGATGGGCGCCAGCTGGAGTTGGCAGTCTTCCATGGCACTCCTATTGGCTACGATGACTTTGTGGCCAATTGCACCGTGCCCTTTCACGATCTGCTTCATGGCACGGGGTCTTCTGACAGCTTTGAAGGATGGGTAAGTAGCTGACTCTCTTCGGGAACTGGAACTCCCATGGAGTGTTCACCTGGGCTGGTGTGCAACATAAACATGGGTGTGCATCCCCTTGGTCCGCCTGTGCAGATTGTGTGATTTGGGAGATGAATCAAAGTTATTCTGCAAGGCCGGAGGACATACCAAACTCTCATCTTTGGGGAACCTAAAACTTAATTATTGGGATCCATGCTTTATCATTCTATTTCTTCTTTTTAATAATATGAATGTTACCGGAAGTGCATCTAGTCCAGTATGCTTATCTGGATTTGGAGAAGTTCATAAACATAGGATGATTAATAAGATAGTCCTTTCCTATTTATCATCTGGCATGTGATTTTTTCAAACTACAGTATATCTGACTAATAACTGCAGATATACTTATTATTTACGTAGTTGTCGATTTATTTAATGCTGTTTGCCACCTGGAATCTCCATATGTGAGATGGGTGGCCATATAAATTTAATTAATTCTTATTGACAAAATAAATGAAAATGCATACATTTATGTAAAAAGGAAATATACAAAAATATAAATATGGCTCTAATTATAAGAGGAAAATGTGAATCCTCTCTTAGAATGCATTATTCTAAAAATTATTAGATAATTATCATTTTTCTGCAAAATTATTGTTTTACAGAATCAGATTCTGTTGATCTCTAACAAATTTGATATCTATAAATTTAGAAACTTCTTCTGTTTTCCAAGATTGCACTATAGGTAGTTGTGTTTATTTCTTATTTTTCAAGGCCATTTGGAAATTATAGCAATAAATTACATAACCTAATGGTGTGTTCCAAGAAGGATATACATTTATTACTCTTGCTCTTAATCCTGCTAATTTCTTGAAGAAAATCTTTTGCTCAGCATTGGCCCACAGCATCAGTTCTTCAGTTTCTTCATAGGCCAGTGTATGACTGATCTTGAAATATGAAATATAGTGTATTTTTATTTTCAACTTTTTTAGAGACAGGAGTCAAGTCTCTGTAAGACTGTTGAACTTGACTGTACTATCCACCATGAAATAAATCCAATATTGTTGACTTCTAAGCAGATTTCATGCTTTTCCCTCCTCTCCCTTGCCCATATCTCAATAAGCAAAATAGTTATTTAAAATGGTATGTTGCATATTCAAAGAGGTAAGGTAGTATGCTTGTTTATTGCAACTACAGATGCATTGCCTACTGATTCTCCCACTAATAGGAAATGTAGGAAAGAGGCTAGAAACCTCTTTCCTTGGGAAAGTTGTTTTTCCTTGGAAACCTTGGGAAGTTGTCTAGCAATTAAAATCTTGTGGGGAAAAGACACTCATCAGCCATTCTCTAAAATCAAAGCATAGTGCAATTTGTCATGCAAGAACCATTGAGATCTATTAAGCAGTGGAACAGTCTGCTTCCTGAAATCATAGGTCCTTCATCACCGGAGGTTTTGGGACAGTATTTTGTCTGGGGTACTATGCGGATTTTTTTCATAAGTCAGGGGTTTGGACTAGAAGTCCTGTAATTTTGATTTAGGATGACTTTGGGCCAGTCACTCTCTCTCAGCCAAATCCACCTCACAGAGATGATGCTGTAGGGAAAATAGGAGGAGAGAGGTGTGTTGGATAGATTCGCCACCCTGAGTTGTTTATAAAAGTAATAAGTATGGAAAATAAATAATAAACAAAATAACATCACTTCTAATCTAGATTCCAGGATTGAGCCTACTGTAGAAATTTCCTCTTCCGTCCTCCTTTCCTTTTGTCACATTGATTGTATGAGGCTTAGACCTATTTCATAAGTCCATGGCAAACCATTGTGATTCTGGCAAAAATGGGTCAGCTGGGCGAGGAGAATGAGAGAAAAACAATGGCCATGCCCATTTTTGGCATTGGGGAATGTGACCCTCCAAAATGAGTCTTCTGCTCCAACTTTAAATAAAGATGGTGCCTGTGATCTGATCACAGCCAAGTCAAGAGGGATTTGCTTCTGCCATTCAAAGGGAAATATTTCTAAATCAGAAATGTGCAACCTCTCTGTGGACCCCAAAGGCCTATCATGGGTGCATAGTTTTCTCCTTTTTTTTTTTGCTCCGTTGCTCAAATATGTGGCTGCTGAAGCCAGCTAAGTCTGAGAATGAGCTATATATTACAGGAAGATTCTGAAATCGATCATAGATCCCCCTTACAGAGGTTACCGTAATGGCTATGGAAAACTTTGCTAGTTGTCTATAAATTCTAATAAGTAAAGAAATAACATTACCAGAATGTAAATGTGTATTGTCTCTCTTATTTATTCCTATGTCATAGTTCCCAACTAGGTGGCAGTACCCAGGTGACCAAGTTAAGCATCCACTCACTAGTTAGTACATGGATGGAGACCATTAGAAAATCCTGGGGCTGTGAACTAGATTGGGGAAAACAATCCAAAAAGCTAAAAGGTAAGTCAGGTCCATTTAGGTTGCTAACTTGTTGGACCTGTTCATGAAGTCCCTTTTGTCTTCATGATTAGTAGAGGAAAGATTCAGGTTAAACATTAGAAGGAGTTTGATGAAGTTAACAGTTGTTAAATGGTGAAACTGTCCATATAGTGGTGAATTCCTTCTTGCTGCAGTTTTTCAAATAGGATCTGGATAGCCACCTGTCAGTTAGGGGTTAGGAGATTCCTACATTGACTGGGGAATGGACTAGATGACCTAAAAGGTCTCTTGCAACCTCTACATTCTATAATAATTATTTCAGGGTTAATTATCTCTGTTCAGCATCCTTATGTTACTTACACCCTGGATAATTCCTTATTCCAGTTCATGAGCCCTTGCCATTTAATGTAACGCTTGTCACAACTGGAGAAAAGGTTTGCTCTGAGTGACATGCTCTTGCGGAATCCTTTCTCCAGTCTCAGTGCTCATTCTGACTATCTTTCTTCCAGTGCACGTACCCACATACATACACCTACAGACACACAAATTCCCCACCAATGGCAGAAGTGGTCTTAATTCAGCCTTAGATGAATGTACAAACTCTATATTTTACTGTTGAAATTAACACCCATGCTATGAATGGGATCAATGAATCATACTGCAACTATGGCCATGAATGCCAAGGTGGGTAGGAAATAATAGGGAAATTATTGATCAGTTCAGGATGTACAAAATGGAGGGCTTCGTCACGCAGCACACAGTTAATCCTTGCAATTTGCCACTATTAATAGCAATCTTAAATGCCTTTCCAAAGATAGGTAACCACCTGGCTTGAGGTCAAAGACTTTATAATCCAAGATGTCTACATAAAATCCTAACTTGGAAAAGTCTGGGTTAGATGTTTTGTCAGATGAAAAGGTTTATCAAAGAGCATCAAACCTAAGGAGAATCCTTTATGTCTGTATGCTAAGGCAGGAATGCTAGACTTAAACATCAGATGTAGGGTGCTGGAGAAGTTGATCTTCATACATACAAATATATTGCTAGGTTCTGACTTTAAGTAAAATAACAACCACAAATATTTTTTTTAACAAACTATAATAATTATGCTTAAAAGACCCCAAAATTAAAACAGAGTAGTTCTTGTGTACAGGTTATTTATTTGAAGTATTCCTCATATTGTAAATTTTGTTTTCTGATGAAAGAGTAAGGTTTTGGGAATGATCCCACACTGTACGCATTAAAAAAATAAGCTTGATGAAGGTCCTCCAGGACAAGCTTTCCACAATTCCAAATTCCAGCCCTTCTTTTCTGCTTTCCCTCCTACAAGTTGCCTGTTGGTTATATCTATCTGGCAGTAAAACTTTGTTTGTTTATTTAACTTATATGCCACCCTTCTCACTATCCCAAGTGATTCTGGATGGCATAAAGACTAGCTCATATATTGCTCCCTCAGTTAGGTTGTCCTGCAGACATTCATACTCCTGGTGCAAAGCAGGGAGATCAGGACTGTGTTTGCACAGTGAAAAATATTCAAAGTCCTGTGAGATCAGGTAGAAGGGTCAATCCAAAGCGGAGAGGAGAGAGAAGACGTTACTGTACCTGAGTGGGGAAAAGAAGTGGATGTATCATCTCTTCAATAGTTTTAGTAAATAGCAAAAATTATTGTCAGAAATTGAGGTGTTTGGGGAAAAGAAGAGAGCTTTGCTTGGGATTAGATTATCTCTTAAATCACTGGTAAATGCTTTAGGCAGAAATTGCATGAACATACAGTTTATTTTTTCTATGCTCAACCTCACTATTCTTTATTATCTCTGTAGGATAAAACTTCAACCTTTTATGATATAGCAGGTTGTGCATGAAGATACTTCTTTCTTTCAAATCACTTGGGATCATAATTTTTTCCTGAGAAACTCTTTGAATATTGTAACAGATCACTACCATCTTGCATCTTTTGGATTTTTTATTTAGCTTAATTTGTGAACTGTCATATGTTGTAAATTGTACAGCTCTATCCTTTAGATCCTACAGCACCTCATATTTACATTATTAAAAAGTGATTTTATATACTTATAAGATCTTGTGAGATGGGAGTATGCAGAAAAAAGAGGTCTTCTTTTTGAGGATCTTCTCAGCTCCATCCAATTAAGGCATTCTTGGTCTTCCTCTTCTTCTCTACTTACTTTGCCTTCATATATTTATTTTGCAGTTTCATCTTCATTTATTCTTTCTGTTTGACTAAACTATCTGGATGTAGTTCTTTCATACACATATCTCTTTGGTATTCAATTCACATTAATTACCACCACCTCACCACCGCCTTAAGGGAGGCGGTGGTGAGGCCTCACCACCGCCTTAAAGGAGGCGGTGGTGAGGCCCCTCCTTAAGAAGCCTTCCCTGGACCCAGATGTATTGGCTAACTATCGCCCGGTCTCCAACCTTCGCTTTGTGGCGAAGGTTGTTGAGAGTGTGGTTGCGCAGCAATTCCCTCGGCACCTGGAGGAAACAGTCTATCTGGACCTGTTCCAGTCGGGCTTCAGGCTGGGTTACAGCACGGAAACGGCATTGGTCACGCTGGTGAATGATC